GTGAATGGCTCATGCAGTTGTTGATGTGCCGGTGTCAACTGTGAGGCATGAGCACGGCCTGCCACGGCGCCCGCCGCCTGCGCCGCGCCCGCGGCGGCGGCAGGGGCGGGCCTGCCCGCGGCAGCCACGTGTGTGTAGCCCAATAGTGACCGGAAGTGGCCGTTCCAATCACCGGCCGTGATGGAGGGGTCCGCGCCCTCCCCCTTGCCCTTGAGCAGCCTGTGGAAAAGGTAAAAGGTAAAGGTGGGGAAGAGCCTCCACAGGCTTAACTTCCCGGTTTTAACGTCTAGCTTTAGACCATTATTTGATCTGCCCGACGTGCCAAGTGCAGTACCCCCCACTAGTAGTGAATGGGTCCCGGGGAGGCCTGTGCCGAAGCCTTGGCGATTCTAATAGGCGTTCCCGAAGGAATTGGCTTGGATTGGCGCTGAGCCGGTCAGCTATGCCGCGTTTGTCCTCACAAAGTTTCGACATGGGAGGAATCGAACCTGTGCCCTCTCGGAGGGTTTAGACACTAGCTCCAGCGCCTTCAAAGAAGGCCTTTCTTAGCCGCAGTGTGGAAGGCAGCCGGGGCATCGAATTCGAGCCGTGCCAGGTCACGACCCCTCTTGCGCTTCACCTGGCGCTTGTGCCGCCGGGCGGCGGCACACATCTGGCGGTTGAGTGCAACAGCCAGGGTGAAGTCACGACGGCTCAGGGCCCGCCGTCTCCTCCGGCGGAGACGGGAAGTGAGCGGGTCCTTGCATGCCTGTCGCTGCCAGCCTGGCGGTCGGGCAGGGCCCGCCTGCCGGACTGGCATACCAGCGGTATCTAGGGAGCTGGTCACTACCCCATCAAAGCTCATGCATGCTGCAGTGAGCTGGCGCAGCCCACAAGTTCCCTGCCCGCGCTGCATGTGCAGCTCTCGCTCTGAATGTTCCATTTCAAGTGGGAAATTCAGCTGAGCCCTGGGTTATTCCCCATCGGATGCCCAGGCCGGACTGCACACCCACTGTCGCACATGGCTTTGGTCTTGCTTGCAGGTGCATCCGACTCAAATGACGGGCGAGAACCGCGGTACGTACCACGCAGGCGCCAGGAGGAGCTCCGTGGCAATTTTGCTTATCCTGACACTCCTGGCTGCCGGAGCCCAGGGTGAGGGTGCCATTCTGCTGCGCAGCCACGCAGAGAGCAGGCTGTCATGTACTGCCGGGGCGTTGTACTGCCACTGCACTGCGTGCGCTGTCAAGCTCCCTGCTTTCAACACATTTGTGCTGATCTCAAGTCCGAAACCAACTGATGTGCTGTACACAGCCACCCGCACAAAGGTGACCATCCCAACGTTGAAGAGCATGATCGCGGGCCTTGAGACCAAGCTCAGCCGCTGCAAGGCCTCCGTGGGCCAGTACAAGGTCAAGGTGCCGAGGGTAGGGCTGGGTGGGCCTGCCGTGTACACCTCGGCAAGGAACCATAAGTGCAAGTGCATATCCTTGTGCCAACGGCATGTGCTGAGTGAAACCAGAGTTGACCCCGCTCACGATTGTCTGTGCAGCTGCGCGCTTCAAATCAGAAGGTCAGAGACTGCCAGGTATGGTCTGTGCGGAAGATCACAATGCCTCTGCCATCGGCTCTGTGCTGCACATGTGCTGTACAGTTGGGCTGACTGGGCTATAATTGTTTCGTACTTTGCAGTGGTCGTTGGAAGACTGCGAGTCAACTTTATGCTGATCAGTGCCATGGCAGCGCCGGTCGCCTCTCTTGACCAGGCACATCTTCGCTTCACCTTCACGTGGAAAGTGTTGTTCGACGCACCCTGAACAACATGTCAAGCCGTGGCTGCCCACAGGCTACCTGGCTGCCACTTGTTTCTCTATCGGGGCCTATCATAGCGGGGTGACTGTAACACAGGCACATCGTTTCTCGTGATACATGTCGTCAGCTGCGGTGTGCTGTTGCTGGCGCCAGGCGGCCTTGGAACCTCTTGGTGCAGCAGATAAAGGTAAAGGTAAAGGTGGGGAAGAGCCTCCACAAGCTTAACTTCCCGGTTTTAACGTCTAGCTTTAGACCATTATTTGATCTGCCCGACGCGCCAAGTGCAGTACCCCCCACTAGTAGTGAATGGGTCCCGGGGAGGCCTGTGCCGAAGCCTTGGCGATTCTATTAGGCGTTCCCGAAGGAATTGGCTTGGATTGGCGCTGAGCCGGTCAGCTATGCCGCGTTTGTCCTCACAAAGTTTCGACATGGGAGGAATCGAACCTGTGCCCTCTCGGAGGGTTTAGACACTAGCTCCAGCGCCTTCAAAGAAGGCCTTTCTTAGCCGCGGCCAGGTCGGCAACATACCAGCTAGAGGCTGCCCAGCAGTGTGAACTAGTATCCAGGCAGGCCCACGCGGCCTATCATAGCTGGGTGACTGTAGTGTAGTAAGTAGTGTACACGTGAACCTGGCACGGTATTGGTGGCTGAGCTCGAGCGGCTGTGAGCCCCTGGGTGCGCATTTCGAGGCATTTGACGGCAGACCACTGGGTCGTCTGACAGTACAGCCCTGCTCATCAACTGGCACTTTTGTTACGGTTTCAGAACTGTCACTTTTGTTACGGTTTCAGATCATTCATCATTCATCTTCAACACACAGACCGGCCGCCTCTTGCTCGAGGGCGGCCCACTTTGGCCTGGGCAGCCCGGGCCGCCCTCCCCCCCGGGCGCATGTTCGGTGTTGGAGGGGTGTGCCCAGCGATAGGGGGGCCCTGAAGGCATGCGCCGAGGCCGGGAAGCGTGGTTCGGCGCTGCTGCACGCTTGGCGATTTGAACAGAACCACGTGCCGCCGAGCTGCGGCCGCAGTTTCCGGCCCACGGTCTACGGTCGCAAGCCACGGGACTCGGCGGCACGGCGTTTGGGCCCAAGCTTGCTGCCGCCTCCGCCGTGCCCGGGGGGCAGCGCGGCGGCGGCGGCGGCACGCTGCGACGCCCCCGTGCTGCTGAGCTGCGGCCGTAGTTTCCTGCCAGAAGCCCACGGCCACAGCCGCGGGACTCGGCGGCACGGCGTTTCGGTCCACGGCTTGCTGCCGCCGCCGTCGCAGGGCTGCTGCCTGCGGCGGCGGCGGCACGGCGTTTGGGTCCACGGCTTGCTGCCGCTGCCGCCGCCGCAGGGGTGCTGCCTGCGGCGGCGGCGGTAGCGCACGTGGCAACCCCCCGCGTTTCCTTGCCTCCCATCCACCGGACCCCGTCCTGCGCTTCCCTTTGTTTAGGGAGGGGCTGCTCACTGCTCATTGCTCATTGCTCATCGCACACTGCTCAGCTGGGGGGAGGGTGGTCGGAGCCATGGAGAGGGTGCTCCATGGTCCACCCCCTCTCTTGATGCCCCTTGATCACGTGTGCCCCCTGCCCAAGGTCTGCTCACGCGGCCTATCATAGCGGGGTGACTGTAACACAGGTACTGCTCAACGCTCATTGCCCTATATCCCACCCAGCCGCAGGACTCCACTGCCGCCCGCGCCCCGCCCCATCTGGCCGCTTGCGCGCCCCATCCCACCTCGATGGGGCCCGCCCACACCGGGGCCTCCCCCCTCCCGACCACTGCTTTCCCAACGGCCCCGAGCCGGGGCTGCCCTCATTGCATACATAGAGTGCCTTTCCCTGCTTTTCTAGTGACCTAGCGTTCCGCACTGCCGTTTGGCCAGCCCATGCTCCCGTACCGTTGCGTTTCTCCCCAATGCGCCATGCCACTTTGCCAGTCATACACACGTTTCGATGCGTGCCCTGTCAGCTGCTTGCGTTGCATGTCGCCTTGCTCCACCCCTGTTTTATTGCTTTCTCTGCTTTCGCCCGGATCCCGTCCCGTTTCGGCGGGGAGTCTATGTTGCAAGCTAGTTCTTGCTTTACCAGACTTTAAGCCCCCCCACACACACAAGCACACTGTGGAACATGTGGCGGCACAGCGGCGGCAGCACTGCCGCCGCTGACCTGGACCCCCCCGGTGAGTTGCTGCCGTCACTTCCTTGCCGCCCAAGACCGCAATTCCGGCAGCTTTTGTCGCAGGTATTTGCCTGGCGCCTCTGTAAACCGGCTGGGTTATTCACGGTCGAGCGATCAGTGGTAATCGCTTCTCACGCGGGTGAACATGGGCAGCGCGGATGCGTTGAAGGCGCAGCTCAAGGAGCTGAGCGACCGGCGAGCCGCCCTCGAGCTGGAGGTCGCCCAGCGCAGCGCCCGCCTCGAAACGGCGGGCGTCGGCATGGGCGGCGCCTTGGTGGACGGAGAGGTCCGCTCTGCTTTGGTTGCTTGATAGCTGCAGGGGCTGACAGCTGCATGTTCAGTGTCGTTGCATCATGCGTGCTGCTTGCACGGCGGCAGTGGGCCCCTGCCAGCCGTGTGCCAGGCGCTCGATGGAAAACTTGGCAGGCACCCAGCATACACGTGCTGTGCTGCTCCAATGGGCGCGCTTGCCTATCCTGCTCTGGTCCGCTGCCGCAGGGCTTTCCGCGGGCTGACGTGGATGTGGCGGCCATCCGTGCCGATCGCCACGCCATCATCAGTGAGCCACCTCGTGCTGCCTGAGCCTGCCGCCGCCCTGCTGCTCTGGTTGCCCCGCTTGCTCCGCTGCGCTCACTACGCGGCTCCTGCTGCTGCTGCACGCCATGCAGCTCCTGCCCGGCCCTCTCACCCGACTTGTCCCCGCCGCCTCTCACCTGCTGCTGGCTCATGTGCCGCCCTGGATGCCTGCCGTGCCTGCAGCTCTCACAAACGACCACAAGGCCCTCACTCGGCAGATGGAGGTGCTCCTGCACCAGCTGCACGCCCTCTCCAGCCTGCCCGGCGCCGCGGCGCCGCAGCCAGCTGCGGCAGTGGCAGCCAGGCCGCCGCCACCCGTAGCTTCTGGGCAGCACATGGCCAACGGCAGCGGCTCGCCCATCGCCCATCAGGCGGGACACTCGCTTCACCAGCCGTTTGCTGTGGTGGATGAGGTGACGTCCGGCTCGCCCGCTGCCGCAGCAGGGCTGCAGCTGGGGGACCAGATGTGCAGCTTTGCGGGCGTGACGCAGCAGACGGCCGGCACGCTGCAGGCGGTGGCGGCGGCACTGCAGGGGAACGAGGGGCGTGCCGTGGAGGCTCTGGTGCTCCGGCACGGTGCCCCGCTGGCGCTGCAGCTCACGCCGCAGCGCTGGGGCGGCCGCGGCCTGCTGGGCTGCCACCTGAGGCCGCTGTGAGGAGGCGTTCTGAGAGCGCTTGTGTGATTGAGCGTTGTTGATACCCCAGCGTGTGAGTACCGAGTTCCAGCTTCCGCCGGCATGAGGGGTTACAGAAGCTGCCGCCAGAAGGAGGCGGCAGATGCAGTCCCTGCCGGCGGATGGCACAGAGAGTTTCGCTATCAGCTGTGTGGGTTGCTTCACCTTGATTTTGGCATGGACATCAGGGGGATGTAGTGGGGTGAGCCCTGTCCAGTGGGTGGTGTCCGCCATGCGCCATGCGCCCGCGGCGCTGTGCGCGCCATGTGGCGCGCCCTTCATGTGGGTCCTGCCACCTCCCGTCCCAGTTGCCTCTCAGCATTCATTTTTGCCTTCAGCCGCGGTCACGGGTAAACCATTTGTGCTGTCTTCTCTCTCTTCACTTCCCCGCCGTGTGGGAACGTGCGTTCATCCCCTCGCAACTGAGTGATAACAATGCCTTATTAACCCGTTTCGCGTGGCTGTGGTTTGTGACCGGCTATGGACGCCGACCCCGCACCCGCCGCGAACCGGCTTGAGCAGCTGCCCACAGAGCCGTCCGAGCAGGGGCAGCCGGTGGAGGCAGCGGCAGCACAACCGCACAATGCAGCACCTTCCCCTCCTGCCGGCAGCGGCGACCGTGCAGGAAGTGCACCGCCGGCACCGTTGCCGCCAGCTGACCTGCAGCCAGTGAACGGCTTGAACCGGCCCGCGGTGCCTGATGGCCCCCTGCAACAACGGTGAGTGGGTGCAGACACTTCTGCAGAAACGGTCTTGTACGCAACGTCCCATACAGTACCACCCAGACCTCGCTCACCGCAGCTGAACGCCCTCTGGTGCCCTCACCACCCACCGTTTGCTGGTATCTCCACCGCCGGCCGCAACCCTCACCACGCCTGCTCTCCGTGCGCATCGCCCTGCTGCAGGGGCAGCAGCCGGGTGGAGGCAGATGGCCGCCAGCGGCGCGGACGCAGCCACAGCCCAGGCGGCAGCAGGGAGCGGCGCAGCCGCAGCAGGAGCCGTACCCGCAGCAGCAGCAGCCATGAGCGCCGGCGGCACAGGCGGCAGCAGGCGCAGCGCAGCAGGAGCAGCCGCAGCCGCAGCCGCAGCCGCGAGCGGCGGCAGCGCCGCAGCAGGAGCAGGAGCAGCGGGCGCAGCCGCAGCCGCAGCTGCAGCCGTTCAGCAGACAGCGACGGCAAGAGGCACAAGCACCGCCACAAGCACCGCCACCACCACCACCACAAGCACCATGACAAGGAACACCACTCGCACCGCCACCACCACGCCCCACAGCACCAGCAGCATCAGCATCAGCCCAGGAAGCGCAGCAGGAGCCGGTCAGAGCCGCGGGAGGAGGCGGCCGTGCCGCCCCCGCCGCGCCCAGGCGGCCCGTTTGCCGCCGCCGCCGCACCACCACCACCACCCTCTGAGGGGGCTGGACCTGCAGCGGCGGGGGCAGGCGCTGGTGCTGCAGAGGACGGGGAGATCATGCGGCGCAACAGCAGCGTGGGAGCCTCCTCCCTGATCAAGCTCAGCCTGCTGCCGCCCGGGCAGCCGTCGCCCGCCACCGCGGCAGCTGCCGCAGCCCTGCTGCCGCCCTGCGCGGCCTCGGCGCGCTTCGCAGGCCCCACGCCGTCCCCGCTGGGCCCGCCGGCGCTGCCACGGCTGCACACGCCGTCTGCCGCGGCGCTGGCGGCGGCGCAGGGAATAGACGTGTCTGATGTGTCGCTGGTGCAGCCCTCGCCCATGGCGGCAGAGGCCACGGTGGCGGCGCTGTCGGCACTCATGAGGCAGCCTGCGCGGCAGCCCTCGCTGCCGCACCTGCACCAGCCAGCCAAGCGTGGCGGCGGCGGCGGCGGTGGAAGCGGTGGAGCAGCGGGCGGGGGCAAGAAGAAACAGCTGCTGAGCTTTGGGGATGAGCTGGAGGAGGGTGAGCGCCCTGGCTGCTGCTGGGTGCAACCCCTGCCTGCATCCCTGCCTGCCTGCCTGCGGCCTGCTTCCACCGGCCGCGCGCAACTGGAGCATTTCCAGCCACCTGTCCCGTCACCAGGCAATCAGGCTGCTGCTGTGGCTGCTACTGCTGCTGCTGATGAAGGATGATGAAGGATCCCCCGCCTTCCTCCCCCCTTCCAGACGAGGTGGACGGCGGCGGCGCGCGGCCCGCGCTGGCCATGTCTGCCGCCACATCCAAGCGCTTCAAGCACGAGAAGACGCTGGTGATGCTGAACCCCAGCCTGTCGGGAGGTGAGGGGGTGGGGCGGTGTGGTTGGGGAGGTCAGGGGGCCTGCTGGGCAGGGTAGGGTGTGCCTGGCTGGTGAGGAGGGCCTGCAGGCTGGGGCACGGGGCGAGCGTGTAGCGTGCAGGTTGGGTGTCCCCGCTGTGCGCTGCCTGCTGGCTGCCGCAGCGCGACCTGCTGGATCACCCTCCGCCCACCACCCCACCACCTCGCCCCGCCTGCTGCCGCCTCCTGCCTGCCCGCTGCCGCCGCAGACCTGCAAGGCCACCCGCTGGCTTCGTTTGAGGACGAGGACAGCCTGCCCTGCTCCCCCGCCGCCCCGCTGGACAGGCGGCTGGGCCAGGTGCTGTGGGGATCCGCCCAGGTAGGCGGGGTTCTGGGCCGGGGCATGCGTGCCGTTGGCGCGCCCCACGCCGCGCGCTGCACTGGCCTCCCCTCCCCTTGCTGCTTCTCCTGCTCTTGCCTCGGCACACGCCCCCGCACACACACCCCTGCACCCTGTTGCAAGCTTCTCCTTCCCACACTCTCATACCCACCACCACACGCACGCACACACTACCACCTGTTTCCCGCGCAGGCCAAGGGCATGCGGCCCTACATGGAGGACCGCCACACCCTGATCAACTCCTTCCAGCCCCGCACCTCCTCGGGGCAGGCGGTGCAGGTGGGGCGCTGGCAGGGACGCGAGGTGGCTGGGAGGGGGCCCAGCGGAGGGCCGTGCGCCGGTGCAGGGACTTTTTGAGATGGGGGTGGGCCCTTGGCCTGTGCTGCCTGCCCGTGGCTGGCCCTTTCTGACCGCCCATGCTTGGCGTCCCTCCCCACCTCGCCTGCCTCCTGCCCTCCCTCCCTCCCCACCTCTCCCCACCTCGCCTCACCTCGCCTGCCTGCTGCCCTCCCTCCCTTCCCACCACTCCCCACCCCCACCAAACCCAACCCCACCCCACCCTGCGCAGGATGGCGTGTTCCGCGCCTACGCCGCCGTGTTTGACGGCCACAACGGCGCCTCGGCAGCGGAGCACGCCGCCGACCGGCTGCATCACGTGCTCGCGGCATAGGCGGCCATGCGCACCTGCACTGGTGGGCGCCGCTGCTGCGCCGTCAGCGGCTGCTTGCTTGCTGCTGCGCTGTTATTGGGCTCGCGCCGCACCTCCCACCACCCGCGCCGCCTCACCCACCTACCCACCCTGCCCACTGCCCGCTCGGCTGCCTCCGGCCCCGCAGGCGAGGGCCCGCCCGCCACCGCGCTGCAGGAGGAGGAGCGCGTGGCGGCGGCGCTGGTGCACTCCTTTGAGGCGGTGGACAAGGAGATCATGATGAGGTGCCGGCTGGAGGGCACCAAGGGCGGCGCCACGGGCCTGGTGGTGCTGCGCATAGGTGGGCAGCACGGCGCGGGGCCGGCGGCGACGTGCTGCGTGCGCTGTGCGGGGAGGGCAGGCGGGCAGGGGTGTGCAAGCAGGCGTGTGTCCAGCGCACTGTGGGAGGCTTGCCGTTGGGCAGGGCAACACGTGCAGCCCGCCCGTTTGTGTTTCCTTTGTACCTTTGCTTGGCACCTACCGCGCGGCTCCCTGCGCCCTGCAGGCAACCAGCTGTACGCCGCTCACTGCGGCGACTCTCGCGCCGTCATGAGCCGCGGCGGCGAGGCGCTGCGCCTGACCGAGGACCACAAGCCCAATTTGCCGCGGGAGCGCAAGCGGGTGGAGGTGCGGCACATAGTGTGTGTGGGGTGGGCGCCATGCGCGCAGGCCTCGTGGGCGCACGTCCGCATGACCCAAGCCCTACATCTCTGTGTTGTTGTTTTGCTGGTTGTTTATTGCTGGTGTCCTGCTGGTGTCCCGCTCCCAACTCCCGGCCCCGACCCCTGGCCCCGATCCGTGCCCCCGCAGGGCATCGGCGGGCGGGTGGACTTCGCGCGGTGCTGGCGCGTGATTGTGGACCCCGGGGACGGGCGCCCCGCCAGCGGGCTGGCGGTCTCGCGGTGCGCGCCGCTGGGTTCCTGGTGCCGCCCCCGCCTGCGCAGCGCCTGCACAGCGCCTGCACAACGCTGCTCGCGCTGTGCCGCTTGCCGCGCCCAGAGGAGCCTGCCGTTGATGGCCGCACAGCCAGACAGTGCCATGCTGGGCACACAGAGGCACACACTTCCCGCCCGCCGGTCTCCCCCCCCCCCC